TACGAATAGATCATTCAGTCTAGCAGAACCAAGGTTATGGAACAGGTTCTCTGAACAGTTAAAACCTGTAAATCTGTTGACTCTTTTAAGAAAAAGTTAAAAACACATGTTTTTAAAGGAACCTTTACCTAAAACAACTGTGTGAGTGTGTGTATAGACAGAAATATTTGTGTTCGTAAAGTGCCATTGATGCTTATGTTAGAGCAGTATATCTTTATCTTAGTTATAGAAATGCTTATGCTTCTATGATGATATCACTATAGCAAAAGATGCTAATAATATTCAACAACCTTTGTGTTTGTGATGATATAAAACGCTTAGATTAAGTAGAATTTGCCAGAACCGATTGAAATTTGGAATGATGCAAATCAATCAAATTACTGTCATTAGCATGTTATATACAAGTAGAAAAAATTTAAAAAACCTCTTTAAAATCTCTTTACAGTCTGTACTGTATCATCAGAATGATTGTATGTTTTTTCCATGTTAGCCACTCTGACTTGCAAATCTGGCAAGAAGAAAACGATTTAGAATTCTCCATTTCATTTAGCAGGCAAGCATTTCATTTGGTCTACCACCCCCACTCCCTGTGTAATATCAAAGGCTTCAAATTACTTAAAAACAAAGTCTGAATGAAATTGAACAGACAGAAATGGATGAAAATTGATTTTAAATGTAACACAGTGTGAGAAAAATATTAAGATAATATGGTATTCTGTTTATGAATTGAGAATTTCCATTATTCTTCAATTAAGAGGAAGGAAAATCTATTTTGAAGAAATTGATTTTAATTCAACGACTAATCTGTATCAACGATAATGAGTCAATAATTTCTAATATAAAATACAATTTGTTGGTAATCCTATTTTAATTGTCTAGTCAGTTGAGCATATTTTTTAATTAAATAATAATGGGAAAGAAAATTTTTTGTAAGGTGCATTGAGTAAAAAAAAATTTGCAAGGTCAAGGAGTCTCAATTTATTGCCTTATCTCTACTGAAATACAGCTCTATCAGGTTGGAAAACAAAAACTTTGACCTCTTCATGATCTTTTTGTCACAAATGTTATACCTTGGGTCAAATTCTGTTTGATATTGGGATTTTCTTTTTGTGTATGGTCTCCACTTTTGCGAACAAAGTTTGGATTTGCAAGAAAATTGTAAACAGCTATTCTAACAGCAGGTATCGAACGCAACGTTAGAAATTAATTACAAACGGGGACAGGAGAAATATGCCTTTAACTTAAAATAAAGTGATCTAATCCTCAGACTAGTTATTTGCTCCAGCAGATAATACAGCTCTATTGCAATTTTAAGTAGATTGAAAGATAGCTTGCCAGGCAAGGTTTAAAATAAATATATTTGACAATCACTGGTATAAAATATTCAACATTCAGTGATCAGTCAAACAATTCTTTTTTAAAATTTTGGGGTGATACTGAATAATATTACCAGGTTTTGTAAAATTTTGAATCTAATAAATATTTTTCAAATCTGAGGAGAATTGTGCCTTCTAGAGTGTTTACAAGCTAAAAATTGAATGCGTTTTCAAGAACAAGGGCAATAACTCGTAATAAATTTGTTTGATTCTACTGATTTTCAATAGCGTTCATCCTTGGGTGATTACAAACACTCACACCAAGTTTTTTTTCAAATCTGTTATGATTTGTGCCTTCTACACGAGCAATTATGGATAGACGGAGCGACGACGGAAAGAGGTGACTCCAATATACGCCCCTCATTTCATGTGGGAGTATTAAAATAATACTTACGTGATTATTTTTGATAAATATTGTCTATCTTTATTTCTTCTAGTAGTTAAATCATCATCTAACAATACTTCTAATTTATGACTGGAAAATAGAGAAAAAAAATATGAGCAAAATCATTCACAAGCCCAATTATTGATTGATTCATTTTCACAAGATAATCAGTCAATTATATACAAAATCTTAATCTTATTTTTTTCTTACTAATCAACCATATCTGAAATTAATATATACTGTACGCTTATACAAATTCAACCAACAAATAAATTTGCCCAAATCAACAAAATCCATATTAGATTTTTAACAAAATCAACATTTCCAAAAGTAAATCATGTAAAAACCAACTAATATTTTATTCAACCAAAGAGTCTTTCATACAAAATCAACCAAATTGATTTACCAACATATCGTGAACAGTCTTAAAAAAAACTTAGTTAAATTCACACTTCAGGGAAAATTAAATGATATTTTCCAGAACTTTCGAATTGAATTCCTTATCCAATTTCCATTTGATCTAAAAATAAGTTGAAAGTCAGTGTGGCCTGTAATCAATAGACTTCAACCAACTGATAGCTAATGGAAAGAAAATACAATTAACCTTCTGTACAATGACATGTCTAGATTAATTGCATATTTCAAGGTGATTCTATTCAGTCTGGATAAAAACACCAGAACTAAAGATCCTGATTATGCCAATATACTTAATGTCTAAGATATTTCAAAGGCGCTGTGATGGCTTTCAGCATAGCAATCCTTAAAACACTAAACACAGTTAAAGGGATAGATGCGCCATTTTAAGGGGTGGGGGTCTTCATAAGTATTAGAAATGTACGAAAATTGCATTATTATTTTAAAAATACTTTTTACTTTATACTTTCTATATATGTCCTTTCTATATATAACAGAGTATCTTAAAATAACAAGTCCTCATTTTAACATTCAATCGCAGATAATTCTTAACACACATGGATTTAAAGGCTAAAATTTCAATGGTGAGCTGTGAACACTATTACTGATTGGCTTTTCTAAAAATCTCACTTTTCTGAGACTAAGATATGATTGGTTAAATAGAAGGATTCCTTAGGAGTTAAAAATTGATCACTGCCAGTGTTACAAGGTGATATAACAGGTAGCTTGTCAGGCAAGGTAAAAAATACACCCAAAGTTTGACGCCTTTTTCCTAAGTCAAGGGCAATAACTCAAAAAGCGTTCATCGAAAGATCGTCAAATTCGAACTTGACCAAGATCTCATCAATATAAATGATCACACCAAATTTCATTAAAATCAGTTGAAAACTGTAGTCTCTATTGTGTTCACAAGAAATGTTGACGGACCGACAGACAGGGGCGACGGCAATATACGTCCACATTTCCATGTGGGCGTATAAAAATATAGATTACCACACAAAACACCTTAATATAGAGAATGTGAATATTGTAGATATACCAAGATGTCACAATAACCTCTTATATGTTAATGGTCATTGTCACAGATAAGCTCTTAAGACGTCGCTTGACTGGCCTGTGTTCAAAACAGTCTTTAAAGATTTATCATTACAAGAAAGCAGTTCATCTTCACTGATAATTACAGTTTACCCAGCTGTAAATGAGTGTGGATTATCCAGGAAAAATCAACACCAAGAAGTTTGGCCAAGGACCAGCTGAAATAAAATGATCCAAAGATGTTATCCATGTAAAATATAGTGGTTTCGTTCTAATCTTTTTAAATTGCAATTTAAAGGTACAGGTTCTATTGACAGTGAGCTGTGAATACTATTAGCTAAAGAATTCCTGTTTCTGAGACTTACGTACGCAAACTTGTCCCTTTATGTTAACAAAGGATTCAGTTCTCAAGCAAAAACCTTCATTGAATAAATTATTTTGCTGTTAATATTAGAATCGATGGAACACACCTTATCTCATATGATCAATAATAGTTAGATAACAGTTAGGTAAGAAACAGAGTAGACTACCGTTTCTCAAAAAATCGGACAATCACATTTTTGTCGTATTTCTCAGTGTAAAAATACAGTTACAAGCAATTTTTCATAGTAACATTTATTGAGAAATGGGTTTTGACATGGTCTTATTAATCTGTATTAAAGTAAGCTCATTACATTTTGATTTGTGGGCATGGAAATGAGATTGGTGATATTTAAATCTGACCAATCAGATCGGTAGAACAGAAATGAGGTCGGGAAAACAAAACACATTCTTTCCAAAGTAAATATTCCAAAGGATTGTTTTTCTATAAGTTCAATTCTTTACCGAACATTTTACTTAATTATGTATCGTTCATATTAATCAAAACATTTAATGACACACTGCATTTGTTTTGTTTCCCGAACAAAGCGTCATAATGAGTGCTTCAATTTTATCGGCTGAGATTTCCTACAAAGATTTCAGGGCCAATTTTGATTGGACAATATTTATCTTTGAATACCGGTACGTAATTTTTCACACTTGTATTACCAATGCCCCGAGTAAGTATTACCTTGGGGGTGTGGTTAGGACATGATGGTAGTCCATAAAAACAGTTTGGTGACTGAAGGGAAAAATATATACCAAAATAGACCCACAACTCTTCAGGATTCAAAATGCTGTTAAGACCACTATATTTTTTCAGTTTCTATGCTGAATGTCTAAAAGAACATCTATAAGAATAACAAGCCATGTTCTAATCAAGCACTCTTCAGTAGACAATGTTTCATCTTGAATGAAAATCTTTACCAATCTAGTTAGAAGCATTCATTCTCTACCATTAAATAAATTTGATTAGTACATTGATAGTAGTTTAATGATGATTATGATTAGTTTCTAGTTTTGTTGAAGAAGAAATTTGGATGGAAATTTTTAAATAGATTTTTATTTCTGGAACATTAAAATGATTCACATTCAGAGTAATCATTTCTTCTCTTCGATATGATACTTTCTTGTACTAAATAATAAAATACTTTATGAGGGGTTCTGTAACACAGTTAGAGAATTGAAAACTTTACATGACATCACTTGCTTGGTTATGTCAACAAATTTGGTTGTGGCTTCTTATCTCGGTTTGCATGTGAAAGCCTGATGCCCTTGAATAAGTCATCTTTCTGCATTATCCAATCCACTCTGTAAATGGATATGGATAATCTGGAAAGATTAATGCTAAGGTTTGGTAGAAAATATCATACCTGAGCATACCCAAGTTGTTATATTTGTAAAAATGTTTTATCCATACTATTTTGTACTCAATAAAGTACTTCCTTTTACTCAATATTTTGTTATACTCAATAAAGTTCTTCCTTTCACTCAATATTTTGTTATACTCAATAAAGTACTTCCTTTCACTCAATATTTTGTTATACTCAATAAAGTACTTCCTTTCACTCAATATTTTGTTATACTCAATAAAGTTCTTCCTTTCACTCAATATTTTGTTATACTCAATAAAGTTCTTCCTTTCACTCAATATTTTGTTATACTCAATAAAGTACTTCCTTTCACTCAATATTTTGTTATACTCAATAAAGTACTTCCTTTCACTCAATATTTTGTTATACTCAATAAAGTACTTCCTTTCACTCAATATTTTGTTATACTCAATAAAGTACTTCCTTTCACTCAATATTTTGTTATACTCAATAAAGTTCTTCCTTTCACTCAATATTTTGTTATACTCAATAAAGTACTTCCTTTCACTCAATATTTTGTTATACTCAATAAAGTACTTCCTTTCACTCAATATTTTGTTATACTCAATAAAGTACTTCCTTTTACTCAATATTTTGTTATACTCAATAAAGTACTTCCTTTTACTCAATATTTTGTTATACTCAATAAAGTACTTCCTTTCACTCAATATTTTGTTATTCTCAATAAAGTTCTTCCTTTCACTCAATATTTTGTTATACTCAATAAAGTACTTCCTTTCACTCAATATTTTGTTATACTCAATAAAGTACTTCCTTTCACTCAATATTTTGTTATACTCATAAAGTACTTCCTTTTACTCAATATTTTGTTATACTCATAAAGTACTTCCTTTTACTCAATATTTTTTTTTACTCAATATAGTACTTCCTTTTACTCAGTACTTCCTTTTACTCAATATTTGTTTGTACTCAATAAAGTACTTACCAAGCAAAGGAAATGAATGAAATTAAAAGGAATTCTACTTTTCAAACCTTTGTCTCAGACTTTTCTTGAAAAATGACAAAATTTATCAAGGATATGATATCAAAATCAATGACAAAGCAAATTGGTTGAATTGAAACGTTCTATAGACCAAAGTCTGACATCTTCAAGCTCTTGCCGGCAATTAAATTCTCACAATGATCAGTCTTGACCAGACTGGATAAAGTCTAGAGGTTAATCATATAGAAATAAAAGGAATGCATTGATGTAATTTTAACAATAAGAGAAAGGAAATAAAGTTCATGATGATTGTAATAAGCTATGGTCAACTCAGTTCACGTAGGTTTAAATATAAGCCTGATTAATCATAGCTATCCTTTATAGAATTCCTATTAATTCCTTTTAATACCACAGTAATGGTTCAATGAATTGAGAAATGGTTGAATGCATCACTAATATGATTCTGATCAGAAGTGACTCATATAATGTTGGCATCATATACATGATTACTATATGAAGTTGACATCACTTTCATGCATACTAGCATAATGAATGGCAATTATTGTTTCTATCAATACAGCATGAAATGCTTATTGATATCTCTAGTATGATACTAATCAGAAGTGACGAATATATTGTTAGCATCACTAATAAAATGATTCTAATCAGAATGTTGTTGACATCACTTGCATGATTATTATCACGATGATACATGAAGTGATTGTTGGCATCACTATTATGCTACTAATCAGAAGTGACGATTTAGAATCACTATAAAATTATTTTAATTCAAATGTTGTTGGCATCACTTGCATGATATCAATCAGAATGTTTTTGGCATCACTTACATGATTTCAATCAGAATGTTGTTGGCATCACTTACATGATTTCAATCAGAATGTTGATGGCATCACTTACATGATTTCAATCAGAATGTTGTAGGCATCACTTGCATGATTTCAATCAGAATGTTGATGGCATCACTTACATGATTTCAATCAGAATGTTGTTGGCATCACTAACATGATTTCAATCAAAATGTTGTTGGCATCACTTACATGATTTCAATCAGAATGTTGTTGGCATCACTTACATGATTTCAATAAGAATGTTGTTGGCATCACTTACATGATTTCAATCAGAATGTTGTTGGCATCACTTACATGATTTCAATCAGAATGTTGTTTACATCACTTACATGATTATTATCACAATGCATCACTTTTAGGTAGGCTTGACGGGACAACTATCAAAGGATCTTATTGGGATAGGAGATGTGCAGGTTGTATTAATACTACTGTAATAATATAGTTGTACTGGTTGATCAAGAAGAACAGGTAATCCCATTAAGGAATTAATAATAAAATACACTGAAATGAACTGCAATAATCTGTTCTATACTCTTTGAACTATAAGATAATTAAAACACTACAATGAAATACATCTACTTAGTACAATAACATTGATTTCTTTTCATCAGTTTACAAGTTAATATGGAAGGTGAGTAGGAGCACCAAGGATCAGGTTTAAAGGGTGATAACCTGCAATTTTTTGTGAAAAAAAAAATGTCCTAATGAGCATGATATTAGCAAGTTTATTTGTCAATAATTGGATAAGATTAGAAAAAAATATGAATAGACTTAATTTAGTGATAAAATCATTTGTCTCATAGATTCAGTCTCAGTCAAATACTCATGTTTATATAACTAACAGATTGATGTTGATAACTTGACAGATGCCAACAATTCAGGTCAAAAAAATAGAAATAACAGCTTTTGCCAATGTGTCGTCATTTCTTACAGTGGAATTGCAAGAGCCACACATATCTACCTAAAAATTGGAATAGTGCAAAGCGATGATATGATTGTCCCTGATACACAAAGAAAGTTGAAAACCCTCTTTACAATCCCTTTAAACAACTGTTGCTTATAAAAAATATATATTTCATTACAAATGTCATTTTCACAATCTCATTAATGTCATGTTAGTACAATCTTCATTTTATACCTTGACTGCAATAGCCACTTTTATAGTATCAAGGAAGTAGTATCAAGTAAATGCAGCAATATGGTTGGATTGTTCACTACCAAAAACAACCAATCAGAGCCTTGACATAAAATTTGTAAACCATAAGCTATAATGTCAGTCGAGGGCTATGATTGGCTATAATCACTTATGCACAATCCAATCAAATGGCTGAATTCATTTAGTCAATTATCATTGAAAGTTAACATTAGTCCCAAGTTATTATTAAGAAAAATTCAATTATAATAATAATATTCTCTCCAGAACAAATTCCATATTGCATGTATAACATTTATTGTATAATATTAATTTCCCATTGTGATCATAAAATAACAGTATTACAGACCTAAAAATAAAAATTTCATTAAATACATGTATGCTTTACTGTTATCATACACATCATTTATATTACCAATATAGTCCAAGTTATTTTAATGTACATATATATATCTTGTATTATCTTATACCTGATATGAAAAATAACAATTTCAAATTTATTTTAGATGATTTTTTTTAATGTACTATGCTGCATTTTGGATAAAAAAAAATTTCATTTTTATTGCATATGGATAAAAATGATATTCTTGTATCGTATTGAATACAGCCCGTGGAATAAATATGGTATTTAATGGGCTATAATCTGTAGGCGGGCCAAAGGATGACATCGTATGTGCTTTATTCGTTAATAATACTCAAGATGGTGTCTGACAAGTTTGCCTCTGTTATATTTCAATTTTCAACTTTAAAATGATTGGATAAATAGATTATCCTGTGGCCAACTCATAGACATGGTTTTATGACACCCATGCTTAAAAACCATATCCACTCATAGCCATAGGGTAAACTCTATGCATGCATACCACTTAAACATGTTATTATTAATTTCAAATAGTGGTCATAAAAAAATTTTATTAATATTAAATAGTGATCATGAAAATACAAAAACAGTTGGCCTAACAATAAAAAATTCACTACATACATACATGATTGTTGTCATTCAGCGTAATCCACAACAATAACAATGCACAATAATACATCAATTATCATGCACTCAGAATGCATGATATTATATTGATTTGATCATAAAATAAAAACTAGAAAAACTAATAACTAAAAATTCCATAACATTCATACAACTTTGATTGTTGTCATTCAGCGTAATCCATAACAATAACATTATCTTTAGAATTGCATACTGTTAATATGATAGCATGAGCTTACACGTGAAAAAAAGGAAAAGAAAAAAAAACTAGTTGACCATAAAATCAAAATTTCAGAACATTCATACATACATGATTGTTGTCATTCAGCATAATCCATAACAATAACATTATCTTTAGAATTGCATACTGTTAATATGATAGCATGAATTTACTCATGCATTACATTTTACTATTAATTTCACACTTTGATCCTAATAAAATCTACAAAAACCTCAAAATAGAAATTTCAGAACATTCATACATACATGATTGTTGTCATTCAGCATAATCCATAACAATAACATTATCTTTAGTAAGAAATTCACTCTGTTAATATGCTAGCATACTGGTGCATTATTTCTATCCACGTGACTGACTGTGAGAGAAATTCCCATGATATAGAAGATGTCTATGTGACGACACATGGTAATCAATAGAAAAGGTTAGTGAAATATTGAATGAGTGGAACACGTAACAAACCTAATACATCAAGAATAGAACTTGCCTGATCAAGCTGAAATCCAATGGAATAACAATATAGTCTAGTCTCAGTCACTATGACCTACTCATCATGTATCAGAATTTTATTAATGGAAAATCTACCTTCAAGCACTGTATTGATAGGTCAGAAGGACTGGTGTCTAAAATTAATTCTGTCTTGTACTAGATTTCAATGAAGATTAGTAACACTGTACAGTGTGCAACCAGGAAAGTTTTGACACTATAATACGGAAGGTGTTAATTGTATAAAGCACACAAGCCAAGTTTTTCATTAACGATAAAACGACTTAAACAATATTAAAAAACTTTTCCAAGCCAGTACCTTCAACCTGCATCACTAACATTAGAAATTGAATTGAACAATCTCCAGATACTGTCTATGGTTCAGTGAAAATCTTGGGACATTGAAAGATAGCTTGCCAGGCAAATTACATACACCCACTACCAGCTGTCAGAAATGAACACAAAAACCTGAAACAGTTCATCAAGTTATCATCAAATTCAAACAATGTCTCATCGCTTTGCACACAAGGGCAATAACTCTGAAACTGTTCATCATCCGAATATTACCAATTTCTAACTTGATCGACATCTCATCAATATATTATATGAATATCTATTTTCATCAAGATCAGATAAAAACTGTAGTCTCCATCGTGCCTACAAGCCAAATTCGACACATTTTTTCTAAGTCAAGGGCAATAACTCTAAAACCATTCTTCCGATTATTACCAGTTTCGAACTTGTTTGAGATCTCATCAATATATTCATGCATACAAAGTTTCATCAAGATCGGATAAAAACTGTAGCCTCTATCATGCCTACAAGAAATGTGAACGGACAGACCGACTGATGGGGGCGCCGGCAATATACGTCCACATTTCCATGTGGGCCTATAAAAAGGAATCGCCTGTCAGTTGATCGGAGGGGCTGACATGGGAAAAGGGTTTATTCCTTCAAATCCATGTACTATGTACATTAAAGATGCCTCTACAGTTGGGAATAAAAAGAGTAGACAAATAATGCTGTCCGGGTAAAATTTCCCTCATTGCACACTGCATGGCATTTGCCACTCTTGATTGGCCAAATAGGTACAGAAAAGAAAGACCTAAAACTCTATTTCATTTCTAGAG